GATAATTATATAATAAACAGAATATTACATGGGCGCTTGGAGATACGCAATTTATCTTCTCGTGTAGAAAATCTCACACTCGTTCGCTACGCTCACTCGTGAGAGATCTTTTCAACACTCGAAGATAAATTTCGTATCTCCGCGCGCCCATGTAATATCCTCTATTTATCATATAATTATCCATAAAATACCTATATTTCTCCTTTTCGAAAAACTGATATTTTCACATGTGAAAATAACATGTTATTTATTATGTAAGCGGGCCGGAAAAACCCGTCCGGCCCTGCTCGAATCCGCGCGCTTTCATTTTCTTGATTATTTTTATTTTCGTGAGGGTCATATGATAAAATGCTTATTGACTGAGTTAGGTCGGGCCGTACGGGAAAATATTTGGCTCTCGGTCATTTGTACGGACCGAGCGCAGCGAGGTCCGTACGACATGACCTCGAGCCAAATATTTTCCCGTACGGCCCTCCCACTCAGTCAATAAGTACATAGTATTTAAGCTATTGGTTTATAAATAAAAACTTTTTATAATAATAAAAAACTTATTAAGTTTATTTTATGGATAATTATATAATAAACAGAATATTACATGGGCGCTTGGAGATAAGCAATTTATCTTCTCGTGTTGAAAATCTCTGCGCTCACTCGCAAGATATCTTTTCAACACTCGAAGATAAATTTCGTATCTCCGCGCGCCCATGTAATATCCTCTATTTAAGTCGAAATATATGAGCATTTGTGCAGATTCTATTGTTTTAATACTCAATCGTGATTGGTTAATTTGTATGAAAATTTGTCTGGGTGGCCTTAGTTGGTGTAGTGTAGTACATCAAAAAAGGTTTCTCATTTTGTACAAAAATAAATGGGATGTATACGGATGGGACTGCAAAGAAGCTTATATCTTAAGCTCTTTGTCCTCTACATCAACTAGAATTGACTTCGTATGAGCAAGAAATATGCAGCCACGACTATCAATGGCTTTCGTTCTCAACCAATCAAATAAGAAAGTAAAACGTGGAATTCTCTTGAAAGGAATCGCTTTTTGAAATAGATTAGATACCGTGGCTGTTAAATGGTTTGTGCTATTGACCAATCAAATATCAAGATGTAAAACACACAAACTTATCACGTGTAAAAGGAACAGCAAGCGAGAAAATGCCCATGCGTGATTGTAAACGGTTAGCGTGACTGTTTCTTGCGTGACTGGTTTCCCCTTTCGACCAATCAAAACGCGTGTACTTGTACATCGACGCAATTAACCAACGCATGCGTGAATGCAAATGGTAGATGACTGAAAAATTGTGTTCGCCCTCAACCAATCAAAAAGCGAGAAATCGGACACAAACCAATCACTTTGACTGTGAACGCATATTGATAGTACACCGTGTATCTTACTCATACGGAATCTGTTCTAAGATTCTAGTTTACTATACCGTTACACCTACTGCTATCTATTGTTTTTTCGTCTAACGCCTTTCTTTTCTTTTGCTGAAAGGAAGTTTCTTCGCTTTTCACTCACTGTAGACTTGAAAATGTGTTTGAGTTTCATTACTATTTCATCTGTGGATTGGAACAAAAATTCAAAGAAAAGTTAGTTCATGAAAGCAACTCTCTAGTGGCGAGGGCTGTACTTCAACTATAGCCACAGGTAGCCCAAGCTAGGTTTATGTGGTGTCATATCATAAGAAAATGCAGGCGATCCTTAAAACCCTCAATAAAATCGTCAAATACCTAAAAACGTCAAAACGTAAAATAAAGTAAATAATCTTAGCCGAACTTTGACAGTCGAACTAAAAAAACTGGTCGTGAACACCTAAAATATGTCTGGAATGTTAAACATCGTTTTCTGACCAATCACATGCGATAGTTAAATAAAAATGTCGAATTTGATTGGTCAGAACAACACGATGTCTAATATTCCAGACATAGTTTAGCTGTACAAGGTTTTCTTAGTTTGACTGGAAAAGTAGAACCGTCTTTCGTCCTGTGTGGGTAAGATTTGGATTAAGCAAGTTTCTTAACGGTGGAGTTACACTGCGTCACTGCGCTAATGCGGGAATATCATTGAGTATCGCGATTCTGCTATAAGTTTGATCAAGAGAGGCGTCAATATAACGTGGTATTGTCGTCTCAAAATTACCGCGCGTGATTGGCTCATAGCGTTTGATTGACGGCGAAAATAGCACTTTTTGGTATCGACGTCTGCTTTCTGAATGCACTGGTTGTCTGAAAGAAAAAATCTTGATTATTACTATAGAATACTTATTTAAATGTAGTACCTGCTATGATATTGTCTGCTTCGAAGTCATGGTGCTTAAATTCGTGTGAATTATTACTGTAATACCATATACGGAAGGCTGTTCTGCCTCCATTCTTCCAGTCTGTCACTTCACAATCAGCAATGTTTTCCATATCATAAGACACCTTAAAAAATCCGATAAAGCAAAATTAATTCTGAAAAGAATCTTAAAATTTCACTAAGAATCTAAACAATTCTCCAATTCTCCAACGCAGGCTTAACCTCGAATCCAGGAGTAACTTGTTTCGTTATTCATTTTTGCTTTAGTTTTGTTTTGTTATTCTCATTTCTGCTTTTGTTTACCGACCTTAAAAATTACGGGTAAGCCCGCATTCAATGGAGTTTTAAGAGTCCTCAATAGACCCTTTTCGACTTTGTAAAATACCGCTGTGTTCATTGACTACAGATTCATTCTCGCAGGGTTAGCCACGATTTTATGCAAAATATTCACGTGTTCCAGTGAAGGTCCATGGCAGACTCTTACCCAGTCGCTTCTCTAGTCGTATTGATCTCACGCTGTGGTTGATGGGAAGGATTTAGTGAGTTCGCGGTGCATCAAGGGAAGGAAGGAAGAGAAAAGCGAATCCTTTCCAAAAGCCATCGCGCGCGCATTAAAAAAGCGTGAGTGACGACTGGGTAAGAGTCTGGGTCCATGGAATTTCAAAGTGTTGAAGTTGTGCGTTTGTTACTTTACTGTTAGTATTTGTGAATATTAAAATGAGGCTAAACCGGTGTAAATGAATCTGTAGTCAAGGAACACAGCGGGATTTAACAAATTCAAAAAGGTTTGTTGGTAGCGTGCTTCCCTTCCCATCGAAATAAGAGGAAAAAAGACGCGCCCGCCATCTTGGCATGACAAAAAAAAAGTCAACCAAAATGGCGGGTATACATGATGTCACATACAGAAATCCAAGAAAAATGTTCGAGATTTTTTAGTGACCGTAATATATTCCAACACACGTGACGGCTGACACCAAAAGGTGAATTATAACAAACTCACCGGTTTTTGCTTGACTGGCCACAGTTTCGATGTCCTCGGAGTACTAACAGGATCGATTTCGATTCCTTCCAGTGAAACGCCTAAAAACCGTTGAATAGAACCACATTAGTTAACTAAGGCCTAGGGCAAACGTCGAACTTTTCATACACCAAACTTGATTACATCAAAGAATGCCTCCTCATTATCACCTGATATCCATTGTTTTTAATGAGTTCGGTGCATGGAAAGTTCGACGTTTGTCCTAGGCCTTAACCAATTCTTAGCACCAAATAATACATTACATACTATTTATACATATACAATTATATAAAGGAGTGGTTTATCTAGTTTAAAGGAAGTTTGAAATAAGATTCAAAAACTTTTCTTACAATAACTTACAAATTTCTCGCGCGCTGATTGGTTATTTTTTATCGTCAATAAGAGGACAGACAGATAAAGCTGACGTGAACGAGCACGCGCTCTTTCCGTTAGTTGTTTTGATCGCTAAAAAATGAGAAGTTTTTATCGTTTTTGTTATTGTAAAAAACATTCATTTATTTCCATCGTTGAAGAGGAAAATGTTGCATGAAAGAATTTGAATAAAGAGGGGGACTACAGTTTGCATTAATCCTGGGTCCCGTATCCAAGGACATGTAATGCACGTCCGCCTGACTGATAAACGATAGACCGTTTGCATGATGACTTTACTACTACTACACTTTTACTACTACTACCAAAATGCTTTGCGAATTTTCTTTCTCATCCAAATTTTTATTCCCTCATGAGAATAGTAAAAAAAAAGACCCCTTGCATTACATCAAAATGCAGCTCAATTTGGAGGACATAATTCTCATGAGATTGAAGTTCTTTTGTTTTGTCCTCCAAAACGAGCTGCTTTGACGTCACATGCAAGGGGTGTATTGAAGCTAATAGACTGAACAAAAGAAAGTGTGCGAGGGATTCTGGTAGTGGTAGTAAATGACGCCATAGTGCAAGTGTCCTATGGGTAGCGTGCATGCCTTCCCATGCCTTCCCATGAGAATAAAAGGAAGAAAAAAAGACATGACCGCCATGTTGGTTGACACGACAAAATCCCCCAAGACCAACGTTTTTTGCCAAATTCAACCAAAAATAGTAGCTATGACGTCATATGCCATATAAACACAAACTGATGTCCCACTCTCTGACAAACTTACCCAGCTGAATCTCTGTCACTGTTCTTAGCTTGTGAAGCATCTGCAGTCTGTACGACTGTTGACAAAAGAAACAAAGTATTAAGGTTAATCATATGCCTTTTTGGAAATTGGTAAAAAAACACCGTGACTATGGTCTTCGACTACTGACTCATTCGTACAGGCTTAGCCCCGTTTACACTGTTCTCCCATTTCAGACCACGTGTTATTCCCTAGAGTATCATTCCTTCGTTCGACRGTTGAACATGAATAGACGCATGAATATGCATGCAACTCAAACAAAGAATCTTATTCTCTAGAGAATGACATGTGGTCTGAAATGGGAAAACATTACGACTACGTGGATTTGGTCCATCATTCGCAAAAGTCAACTGTAATGCAAAGAATATGTAACTTAAACAATAATGGTATGTGTGAAAAGCTAACGTAAACAAGGCTAAACCTGCAAACATGAAGACATCACAAATTGCGTCACACATTAAAAATGAAAGCACAAAAACAGCCCTGGATGCGCACTTTCAAGATAGAGCTTGCGTTGCTAAGTAACGAACTTTTAGAATGTTGACTTTCGTGGCTAAACGAGGAAACATTGGTAAACATTGTTTCCATGCGTCTTGGAAGCATGAAATGTTTCTGCCGCACAGCAGACACATTTTTGCGTCTTGGAAGCAAAATTTGTTGAACGTAGCAATGTTTCACATGTGGCTAAACTTGGAATGTTTCTGCAAACTTGTTTCCTCGTTTAGCCAGTTCCCTTAGCCTCGATTCCAGGTGTTGCTTGTTTTGTTATTCTAATTTCTGCTTTTGTTTTACGACCCCAGAAGTGAGGCTAAGCCCTCATTCACTGGAGTTATTGTTCCTCAAACATCTAACACACCCTACCTTATATTGGAAGCTTGTAAAATCGAATTTCACTTCGCCTGAATCCTTTTCATTAGAACTTTGCTTACCTGTTAAAGAAAGAAGATTTAGACTTAGGTTAAGGATATGATTGTGACTGTCAATCATTTGCCAAAAATTCACTTTTGTGGAGTGTAATAAAAACAGACTTTTTCAAATATTCACTTTTATCTTCTCAATTTTTAGGGTGCATGTTACGTCATAGCCGCCATGTTGACGACAACAAAGCATTTATCAATAGCTTCTCTTGTTAGAATCAACCAACATGGCGGCTGTTGCATTGTTATGAATACATCAAGGAACAGTTCCTGCGAAAACGTATAATTTGCCGTCGTGACAAAATAGAAATTTGGTGGACTTCAATCAAAGTGTCAATCAAAAACACAAATTTTCAAGGGCACGTGCTTGAGGAGTGTTATGGAAGCGCCTTGATTGACGTTCACCGAAACCTACTTCGTTGCGACGACGAGTCCTCTATTGCTATTGAGAAGAACTCGCTGTAACATAATTTCTCAATACACTAAACACTTTTCAAGTGTTTAAAAAGCTTTTTTTTAAAGTTTATTTGCAAAACTTTAGATTTTGCTGAAGTGATACGCAATTATTTCAAATAGCGTTTTCAGGTTGTTAAAGGTTTCGCTGAATGTTGCATTTTGCATATCAAGCCCGAAATGCGCTATGGGCGATGCGAATAAATGCAATCAGCGATTACACTAGCGATTTCTGCGGCGATTTTTGCTGCGATTTTTTTGCTAAAGACTACAACAATATTAACTCTCACATATTCCCAAATTTTGACTGCGAGGTTCACTTTTTTGCACATTTTGTTCTGTGCTGACATTATTTATAGATGACCTACAATGCATTTCGGGTAACAAAACCTCCAGTAACCTTTTTGAAATAGCTGTATTAGAGTGCACACCATATATCCGTGAAAAAGGTAACTAACAAAATCGTGCAAATTAATGCAAAGTTTTGTAGGTCTACGGTCTACTGAGGTCTACTGAACTTACTAATTTGTGTAAATTTGTGCAATTTTTTGCAAAGTTCTTCAAGGATATATCGTATACATTTAATTGAAAAAACGTAGTCGGGTTCGAGAAGGTCATATCATCGAAGCTAAGACCGAAAAGGATTTTGGGAACAACGAAATGTGTATAATATTTGCATGTAGACATGTAAAAATGCACAGTAGAGCAAAGTCGGTCGACCTAGATTAACAAATGCCAAAGCCGTGATGCATAAAATGCGCACAGGAAGGGAAAACTGCAATACGCATGAAATTAGCATAATTGTTTATCTTCCCACGCTCCCCTTCGGCCTTAGCTTTGATGATATAACCTTTTTCTGAACCCGACAACGTTTTTTCAATTAGGTGTACACTCAAGTGACAGTTTAATGCAAAGAGCCAGTTACTGAGAAGGGTGTGTTTGACAAGTGCATACGTACGGCCTCCTCTTGTTAGAACAAACTCAGTAGTTCCCATGCTATCGAGTGGGGCTTCGAGGTCGATGGGGACGCCTGGTTCTGACTGTTTCTCCAGAACGTATTCATGTCCTACAGGAATTTGGATAATCAAACGGCAATTAGAGGAAAATCTTGCTACAATACCCCGATGCAATGGATTACTTTGACGATACGGCGGCCATCTTATCAGGGGGCAAAACAAAACAAAGATGATGGAAAATGTATAGAGTTTCGTGTGTTTGTCTTTCTTTTATGGGTAAAAATAGTCGAATGGTCGATGTGCCGTCTTAGTTCATCTTTTGTTGTATTCTCTTGTGGTGAGCTGTTAATATCAATCGATGTCATTACTGTAACAATCGTCTATTTCCCCCTTGGACGCTCCATAATGCCTTACGATCTAAGATGGCCGCCGTATCGTCCAAGTGGTCCATTTGATACTCTATGTGATCTTTAAGGGTCATACACCAACCGAAGTCCTAAGCTTGATATCAGGGCACGGTTGTACGAAAGGTGGATAGCGCTATCCGATGGATAAATCCTTATCCAGTGGATAAATTTATTGGATAACAGCATCGACTTATCCATTGGATAGCGCTATCGCCCTTTCGTGCAAGCGGGCCCAGGACGTCGCGACGTCAACGGTCGTTTTGATAACAATTCGTCAGCGCGTGCGCCGTCCTCTTTCGTGTCACGTGCTGTTTGCTAAATCGGTCTACCAGTATCAGAGTAAACCTTTTCAGCTTCGTATGTAAACTGCCCATTTCAGATCATATGACATTCTCTTGCTAACCGTTCTTTTCTGACGAACATGTTAAAATATTTACACATGAAAGAATCAACTCCCAAGAGTGGCATCACATGGTCTGAAATGTGCACAACAAACAACTAAGCTAAAAGGGTTCATTTCGTTCAAAAATCACGTGGTACAGATTCGTAGGTTCTGTTTTACCACTCTACTGATTTCCATAGTAATAAATGAAATGAAATGAAATGGAAGATTCGGTTCGGCGTGTAATTGGTGCGAGAGAGACAAGCGCTCTCAGATTCTAGCTGAGCGGTGGTTTTGGTTTAGCCAATCACAGCGCGTTCAGCTGTTTAGCCACCGGCCATCATTCCCAGGCTACTGTAAACCAATTTTTTCGTATTTTTCTGTTTTCTTTTGACTAAAATATGAAAGATGTGCCTTCAAGAAGAAGAAATATTGAAAAATAGAGTAAAAATAATTGTACTTTCCGCCATGTTTGCTTCGTTCTTTCAAACTCCAAAAATGCTTTGGGCCGGTCATTATGTCCACTCATGCTTTGCGCGCCGCGTTCACCGTTTAGCTGATTAGCCCTTTCAAAACCAACCAATCAAATGCTACGTAGCGTACCGTAATTAGTACGAGAGAGAAAAGCGCTCTCAGATTAGCCTCAATAAAACCAACAAATCGAATAGTGCTACGTAGCGTACCGTAATTAGTACGAGAGAGAAAAGCGTTCTCAGATTAGCCCCAATAAAACCAACAAATCGAATAGTGCTACGTAGCGTACCGTAATTAGTACGAGAGAGAAAAGCGTTCTCAGATTAGCCCCAATAAAACCAACCAATCAAATGCTACGTACCGGTTCTTCGAAGCCCTCTCTTCTTCAGCATCTTGTCATAAACGACCTTCATTTTGGCCCTTCGGCTGTCCAGCTTAACATGAGAAAACCCGTGGCGAGGGTCATTGCTGGAAACGTGGGGAACGTATGATTTGAGATTTTCAAATATATAGGTACATACACCTATTTCAATATTGTATTGTCATCGCCAAAGGCTATAGCGATAAATTTCGACATGAAAATGGTTTCGTTGAATACAAAGAACATTGAATCAGTCTTACAATGGGGTCCATGTTCTTGACGTGAATAAGAAGCAGAAACACAAGTCATTCCAGCTATTCTTGGATCTTGGAATGACCTCCTATCGCTTTTCGCCTATTGCCTTTGGCGATGACAACGTTTATTGAAATGGATGTATAGAGTGGTTTTCAAAAACCCGTAAAACAAAGTGTAATAACTAAGGTGTAATAAATTGTAATACACCGAAAACACAAAAGAAAATCAAAAGAAAATGCGGACAATAAAGTGTATTAAAATGCAATACGCTAAAGTGTATTTCACGGATTTTTGAAAACCACTCTAATAGGTCAAAGATATTTGCTTAAATAGTATTGATAGTTTCTGTAAAAAGGCCTCATTTTCTCTAGCAGAAAATTATGAAAGTCTTGCATGATAATGATTTTTTTTCACTTACACTTTTAGGATGACTGAGTTGCTTGTGGCAGTCTGAGCGACGGCCTGTTTGGTAACTGGTTTTGGTTCATTCTTGGAGTAAAATAACGAAAAAACGTTTACTTTATATAATGGGGATGACAAGGGATAGATAGAAGGATGGAAGAGAATACTGGTCCATTTTCTCATTCAGTAAATACCGCTGTGTTTCAGTTTTATGACTAAAGATTCATCTGCACTGCCTTAGCCTCGCTTAAGAGAACATCTGCAAAAGTCAACTCAGGGTCCGTGCTGAGGTAACCACTTAAAATTCAAGGACTACTCAAGGAGTATACAAGGACCCAAAAATGAATTTTCAAGGAGTATGTTCCGCTAACTATGCCAAGGTTTTACACGGTGGTTGCATATGGCCGACTTTCAGATTTTCCAATCTTTCTGACTAGATCTATTTCAGAACCATGCAAGTAATGATCAAAGCAAAAATTCTAGAAGTTTTCAAGGAGTTTCGCTAAAATTGTAAATTCAAGAGCTTTTCAAGTGCCCTTGAAAACGTGAGTTAAATTCAAGGAGTTTTCAAGGAGTTTAAGGAGTAGCACGAACCCTGTCAACTGCAATGTAAAGTATGTTCAGCTTGAACAATACCAATGTTTTGAAACCCCACGCGGGAAGTTTATTGTATCTATGAATGGCTAACTTATAGACGAGGCTAAGCCTGTGCAAATGAGTCTGTGCATGGTCTTCAAAAATAGCGGTATGCATTAAATGCGAAACTGGAATAGAACTGGAGTAGAACGATGGATGTGGGATCGGTGTATTGAAAAACTATATATTTGCTAGACTATCTTTCAATAGATTCAAAGACAGTGTAGCCTTACCTCCACCAAAGCTAGACACGTGAAACCAAACTTGGTGATAAGTTCATCTTTATCCAAAGCTAGTGTGAAGACGTTAGCGATAAGTACAATAGATAATATTATCAACAATATCACGAGAATAGGAATGTTTACCATTTACCCGGAAAAATCAGAAATTCCGGTTGGAAAGTTCCGGAAAACTCGGCCTTCCAATTAAGGTAATACATCTTTCCCGCTCTTTTCGGTTCTTTCGGTAGACGCGCTTACCATTTTTCGGAAGTCAAAGTTTCCCGCTCTTTTCTTTCCATTAGCGAATGAATTTCCAACCGGATGGATTAGTTTAAATGGTAAGCACCCCAGAAGACAATAAAAGGGCGGCCATGTTGGTGGTAATGACAACATGGCTGATGCAAACGCTTTTGTTGACGACCGCCAACATGGCCGATGATGTAACGTACAAACGGATTTTGCCCGAGGCTGGGGCTGCACAGGGTCCCCTTCAAGGTACATTGCACTAATTTTCAACCCCGTAAAATCCCCATACCCATCTCACAATCAACCCATTTAAGAAATCATTAGTAAAGGCCAGACACTGAGGGTGGTCACTGCCCAGGTTCCTTTACGTCCTCAGAGGTTCTTTTATGTCCCTCCGTTGCAGGGGGAGGTAGTGTAGAGAGACGGGACCGCCATTTTACTTGGTCATCCGAGCCACGTGAAGGTCTAATCTTTCGTAGTTGTTATTAAAAAGGCAGCATCTTCTCAGTTATTTTAAGACCCTGAGTGTTGGTTTGGATGGTTCGGACAACGACCTCAAGGTACGAAAGCCCGAATCTCAACCGAGCCAACCGGGTGGCTGTCAAAATAGATTGTCTATAACTTTCTTACAGTCTTATAAAAATGCTCTATTCTCTACTTTCACATTCCCATATGCCTTGCGTCCTTGGGGGGTAACCAATCGAAAAACTGTCCCGAATTGAAAGGTTTCTTAATTGAATTTATACTATACCCGCTTTTATCTGTACAATACTGATTATCAGCTTATTCCAAGTTATTTTTGCGTGTACAGATCATCAAGAGTTTTGGTCTTACAAAAAATGTATTGACTTTTACTTCTTCATTTCATATTTGGATACCAAACAAGGTATTGTCAACATTGTCTGATTAGCCTTCAGCAAAATAAGTGAGTTTTTACCCTCTGGTTACCCCCCAAAGACGCAAACTATTATGGCGATGTGAAAGTAGAGAATAACTTGCTCATTGATAAACAGATAAAGTATACTGACCTGGAAAATCCATATCAACTTCACCATCATCTTCTGCGATACGCAGACAATATTGATCTGTTGTACCCTACAACGTTAGAAAATTTATTCGGCTTTATAATCTGAACCTTACATGCATTAGCTGATAAAATACATCTATAGCTAGTGCTTCGATTTAAGGTGACTCCAACATAATTGTGAGTGAATTTAGCGATTCCTTAAACTCGCTGGAATCGCGTTCAAAACAATCGGATATTTCTGAATTTAGCACATGTAGTGGCTCAAACATACACCTATTTCAATAAACGTTGTCGTCGCCAAAGGCAATAGGCGATAGGTCCTTCCAACATGGACATGGTTTCGTTGAATACAAAGAACATTGAAGCAGTCTCAACACTAAGGTCCATGTTCTTGACGAGAATAGGAAGCAGAAACACAAGTCATTCCAGCTATTCTTTGATCTTGGAATGACCGATCTCCTATCACTTTTCGCCTATTGCCTTTGGCGATGACAACGTTTTATGAAATAGGTGTATACAGAGGAATGATACTCTAGAGAATAACAAGTGGTCTCAAATAGGAAAACATAAAAAAAAAGTCTACACAACTAGAGTTTACCTTAAGTGCTGGGCCAAGGTCATCGGCCGTGTATTTATACATAATGAGCCCAATGAGATCTTGGACATGAGCCGTTCCTGAAACCAATTCAGGTTACTGTGTTAGTATTTGCAAGTTAGAGCGAACGAAAGTAGATAATACTAGTGGTCACTAGTTGGTACAGTACAGTGGGGTGGACCTATGGGAGAGTCGTGGCCCGGAGGGTACTACCACCCCAACTTGGGTAGGGGTGTGCCACCAGGACCTCAAAACCCTGACCCTATCCCAGACCTAAAATTTTGATTTTACATACCCTACCCCAGACCTATAGCTAAGAATTGTACACCCTTTCCCAGACTAAAAGACGGAAAAGACGCTTATTCAATAGATTGCAATCAATATTTACTAACGTTTTTATTGTTTTTGTGTCGGCAGAAAGCGTAGCCTATTCGCCAGACAAAAACGCCCAAATCGTTAACCCTATCCCAGACTAAAATGATACCCTATCCCAGACAGAATGTCAAAAAATGATACCCTACCCCAGACCCAAAAACCGAAAAACCATACCCTATAGGGCGGCACATACCCATATAACAAATATAGGGGAGTACCCTCCCCTCCCCCGGAAGTCGTGGTGTGCGTGCACCCACCGCCCTAGATGAGCTGAGAGTTGGTATCTATTATGTTATTGGTGCTTGAGTTCGCGCACGTCCTGATCAAAGATTGTGCACCCCTTTCCCTTCGGCCTCAGCAGTTTGTACTTGTTTGCTGTCCAAAATCCAGCTACCTACCCAGTACAGTAACAAAAATCGGAATGGCTGCTTCATCCTGTAGGAATAAATATATATATATATTTGAAATATTTGGGTATTTCATGAAACAGCCAATAAGAAACGATCAGTGCTCTTGGCTTATACCATGGGCATCCCTCAAGCATGTGAATTTCATTGTCATCTATTAAGGTGTCTCAAAACCGTTTTTTTGGTCACCAACCAATAACGAATAAACAGTTTAAAAATTAATTTCCTTCGGTTGGATCCGAAAGATATAACATGACATAGTTGCTGAAGAATTGACATTTGAGCGTTGGGTGTGTCATGGCAATCGGCGTTAATTTATGCATGTTAAGGGAAATCCCGTAAAACAGACTTTTAACGCATTTTCCAAAACTTTATCATAGGTTCTCTAGAAAAGGAGACTTTAGCGTAGGTGTCCGACAGCAGTACTGGGCAATAAACAAAGCTAGTAACTAGTAAGAGGTGACCATAGCAACCTCACCACAGGTACCTGTCACTGTATGCACACTGGAATTGTTTGTTATCATCATTGTAATCCCCAGGGATGGGAGCGTGGGGCCAAAACCAAAAACAATAGCGAATACAACAGGGAGGGTAAAGCAAACCATGTTGCCAAGCAACAGCTATAAAGCATGTACGCTATACACTAGTCCTAATGACGTGTCATACCTAAACTACCACAATCCTTTTCAGAACCTCTTTACATATTCAAATGCTAAAACTCCTTTGAGAATATACCTAGACGATAGTGAATAGCATAACAAAAAAAGCTACCGAAAAGGATTCTGGTAGTGTACATGTAGCTATAAAATCCCATCATGTTTGAGGTCTATTAAGAGCTATCATACTGCTGACCAGATTTCTGCTCCAAGTTATTTTTGCTTATAACTAACCACATTTACTAACCTCACTAAGCATCGTAAGAAATATCCTTAGCTTCTTTGTGGGGCATGTTCCTTGGTAGGCCTTGAAGTCACAGAAATATCAAAATAATATATTAACTTTATTTAAGAAGTGGAAATTGGACAGTTATTGGTTTTATAGTTTTGTACTCTACCTCTCCATCAAATCTAGCATAGTCGAGGTAGGGGTTGCTGGGCTCTCTATTCGATTCTTTTATCTGTTTAGAAAGCTGGGAGGATGACCCAGAGAGCTTTTTGTTTTTGATTGGACGTTTCTTGAAAGCATCTTCAATGTCATCACCTAAAAAAATGCGTCACATATTGTAGTTATTACACAATGAAAACAACCCCATCGCGTTGTACAGCATGCAACCACAATGCACACCATACGACCACAATGTACACCATACGACCACAATGTACACCATAC